CAAAATGTTTGCTCAGTGCACTTTTAAGGGATGTTCCTAAGTCCTCAGAGCTCATAAATGGCAGAGTTTCCAATTCAAGTTTGACCCAAATGCCGTAGTTCCTTGGCCTTCCCCACATTAGCTTTCCTGTCAGCATGAGTCTTGTTGCTGAACCTGAGCGTGAGCCTCGTGATATTGTTGACTAGTTTGAAGAAAGGCTTTCCCTTTGAGAATTTGCCTCAGTCAATATAGACTTTGGATAAATGGAAGTTGACTGTTTGCTCAAAGCAACATCAAAAGGCAGCCTGCATTCTGGAACTGGAAAAGCTACCCACAAACATAAATGTGCTAGACGCAACTACCTGATGGGGCCAGTTCTCAAGGAATACTCTTGTGCATCCATCGAAAACTCAGGAGGAGGATCCTTTCTGGCCAGGCTAGACAACAATGAGCTGGGACATGGGCAGAGTAGGAAGGGCCTTTCCCATCAACTAGAGACAGAGGTGGGCTTGGATAGTCACAGGCAGAGTCAACCTGAGAAATGGTACTTTCCCTCACTTGCCACCTCCTACCCCAGCTGTCATCATCCCAAGGGCCCTATAGAGCATGCATTTACTCATATATCCTTGCACCCCCCAAAATGACTAGCTTCCCTGAACCCTACATTTCTTTCCTTTAGTAACATCAGGAGATCATTCACTTCCCTTCACAAGCTACCCCAGGGCCCCATCTCACCCACTCAGTTTGGATTGCAGCCATCATTTTCCATGGAGCACTTGCTGAGCAAAGTAATTACATTTCACTCTGAGCACAGCTCCTGCAGGATTCCAAGCGGAAAAATCTTTAGCACTTGAGCATCAGGGATCATGCCTGGCAGATGCAGAATCCTGGTGAGCATCATGCCTGGTCTGTTGACACCTTCTTGGAGTCAGGACACAGGGGAGCTGGTGGTTACTCACTTTAGGGTCTTACTGTTTATCAGACCTACAAGATCCCAGAACTCACTCGATCCCCTGAAAAGTCTAATTGCCTTCACCGAAACCATGTCCAGGATTGTCCATAGAAGTAGTTGCAGTGGAGCCCATCTCCAAGCATGTTTAATCATAAGATCATGCCTTCATGCATACATGAACATGTGCCTAAACGTGCACACTCCTCACAGACATGAAACACTGAGTTCTATCATAGAAGCCTGTGAGAGTATTCCTGATCTACTGGACACATGGTCTCCAACTGTTAATGATTTATCAGTGAAGACATGCTTGAGCACCCAAAGGAGTACACGCATATTTACTTATAAATCATATGCATATGCAGTTCTACTCAGACATAACATGCATCATGAGTACAGAAAATGTCTCTTAAAATATGGAATGAGGATGTAATCATCCATGTTTTAAAAATAGGTATTTTGGGGAAGAGCAGATGGTGTAACGGTTACATTGCTGGACTCCCATGTAGTCAACTGTGGTTCAAGTTCCGGACCTGGTGGCTTAAACCTCACACTGGGTGTGTGCGCATGAGTGCCCAAGGTCTCAAGAGGAGACTGGAGGAGAAAGGATTGCTGTGTGGTCATCCCTCCTGGGGAGTGATTTCCCACTTTCTGTTTCTCTGTCTCTTTCTCTCAAGCAAGTGCATGCACCCTATAGCAAAAATCTCTCTAAAAAGAAAAATCGGTACTTTATGTATTAAGAGAACCACATTTTTGTTCTTACTAAAAATATCTGTATATTACATAATTCCAATTTCTGGTTTTAGTTTTGCCTAATTCAATATTGGACTTCAGTGATGAGCATGGCTAAACATGATACCTCCTCAACATACTCTCCAGAAAGAAGAGGATTGTAGTCTTGCTGAAAAGTCACAATTTCCATACTCATGTTTTACCTCCTTTACAATTTCACAGGGTTCTATTCATGGGTATCGCATTTTGAAAGGTTTTTGTTATTATTTCATACAAGATTTGGTCAATATCCCAAAGCCCGACACACAGTTAAAAAGACGTATGTTATGAATAATTATGTTCACAAATCTATATAGCAAATAGTTTTCAAAATAAGCCCAAATCTCTCATCTCATTTATCGTTGAATCTGAATCATTTGTCTTCTTTTAAGTTTATTTCTTCCATAAGCCAGAGAGAGACCCCCCTAGCAGGTCTTCATGCTGCAATCCACCCCCACTTTCTAGCCAGCCCAGGATCATGGGCATGCGTGTCCCTCATGTTCTCAGGAGGGTCCCTGGATAAGAACACGGAACTTTCCCACATGGTCAGCCTCTCGGAGTGATGTGTTTTATCACTTCGCCATTGTCTAACCCCCTAACTAGTCATCGTTCATCTCAGTGAATGTATCAATAGGCTCTTACAAGGATTAGTGGTTTTAAAATTTTCTGGAATTGCTATTCTCCCATTATTAGCATTGCCTTTTCATGATTTCCTTAGAGTTCTATGAGGATTAATGTGGTTAAATGTAGAAAGCACTGGCCAATCACAAAACTGCAGCATGTTGCAACATAAAGGTGACATCAGCCTGTCTCCCTGCTGGGATGCCCCTTTTGTTCTTGGTTCCTGAGTTACTGAATGGGCTCAGACCATTTGCCATATGGACAAAGAGAGGTGTTGAGGGTCAATTTGGATTCCGATAGTACAGTGTGATTTCTTTCTTCATTTTGCCTGCTAAAACAATTGTAAATAGCAGTCCTAATACTTTTTTTTTTTCACATTCCAATAGCTCCCTTGTGTACTCTGGGAAGAATGCAGCCCACTCAGACACAAGCCTTAGATAATAGAAAATAACATGAGATTTCCACTGAGAAAGTCTCTGCTTTAGCTCTCCACTTTGTTGTGCAAAGGCTGGGTGCTGCTTTTCCCTGATCCCAAGTTACCTGCCTGGTAAGTGAAGACAGCATTGCATCCTTCTGTGGTTGGCAATAGAGTCAGGAGAAAAGGGACGGAAAAATGTATAACAGCATGACAGACACATAACATTGCAAAACTGCTTCACTCTGGGGCTGGCAGGTGGGGTAGTGGTTAAGGCGCTGAACTCCACATGACCAACTATAGTTTGAGTCCCGGACCTGGCTGCTTGCTTTCTCACTTTCCATCTCTCTCTCTCTGCCTTACTCTATCCCTTTCTAGTCTAAATATATAAATAAATAAAGTTTAATAAAATAATTCTTTAAAAAACTTTTAAAAACTGCTTCATTTTTTCACAAATCTGGAACCTGAAGAATGGGAAAATGTGCAAGAGAAACTCCCAGAATCAGTAGCAGAGCCTAGACTCAGAAGTCCTGGCGCCAAGCTCAGCACTTTCACTCAGGAGGGTCTTACCCTGACAACAGATTTTTTTTTTTTTAGAGGTTTTTGCTATAGGGTATGTGTGCTCACCAGAAAGATATAGAGAGACAGAGAGACAGAAAGCAAGAAATCACCCCCCGGGGGATGGCTACGCCACAATCCCTTCTCCTCCATTCTCCTCTCGTGATCTTGGGAATGCATGCCTGGCATGAGTTTAAGCCACTGGGTGTGAGACTCAAACCACAGTCTACTACATGGGAGTTTAGCAACATAGCCATTACACCAACTGCTGGTCCCGATAGATAATTTTCAAAAGTGCATGAAATCTTCCTCTTCCATTAAGTTACAGTATATATTTCTCTGTCCTAAAGTAGAATTTGTCTTGTGTCTTTCTTTGGCTACTAATGTATTTAAAACAATTCTGAAATTTCCAAGGCTGAGTATCAGAGGTTTTGTGGGATTCCACTCTGGTTCCTAGCACCTCGCTGCCATGTAGACAAGCTCAGGCTAGCCTGCTGGAGGATGAGAAACCACAAGAAAGAGGACCACAGCCTTCCAGCTGAAGGCTCCCAACTTGTGAGTGAGCCCAACTGAGATCAGCCAACCTAGTACAATTCAGTGGAACCACTGATTTGCGCTCAACCCATTTGCTTACCCTCAGAATCACAAGTTATGCTGAAAGTTATTGTCTAAACCATCAAGTTTTAGGAAGTCACTGATTTAGCAAAAGCAAGTTGATAGATCCCCCTTGTTTTTGATACTCATTTGCTCTAAGTTGGGCACATACAAATTCAGTTTCTATGAAATTTGGTTTCCATATTGGGACCACGAGGAAAGTATTTGTAGCCACTACCATGCATGTCATTCCAGACTGTGTTAGTTGCTCTGTAACCATTTTCCATCTTCACAGTGACCCTGAGAGGTAAGCCTATCATGAGAATTTATTGAATTTGTGCATATACAATGCCAAAACCAGAGTTTATTCTCAAAAAATGACAGCAAGTATATTTTAATCATATATTTAAAGAAAACATTTGTAAATTTCATCATTCTCAGTTTCTAGATTTAAGCATACATTTTACAAAATGTAGCGTTGGAGGGATGGCTTTTATAGGAATTAGACACATAGATACATTTTATAAGAGCTACATAGGAAGCATGTTCCCACAAATTTACTTTCCTTTAAAACTGACATATTTGGGCAAATAAGTGATGCTGGATCCAACATGGCTGACCTTGCGGTTCAGGTTTCAGATCTGGTGGTTGGAAAACACACCAGGTACATGTGCATGCATGCTCAAAATCCTAAGAGGAGGAGAAAATGGAGAAGAAAGGATTGTGGTATGATCATTTCTTATTGTGGGGTGCTTTCTCTCCCTACCCCCTGGTGAGCACACATGCCCTCTGGAAAAGATTTAAAATAAATAAATAAAATTGGCATATTGAATGGAAAAAACAACTGAGGAGAGATAAGGAGGAAGGGCATTCAGGAGGGAGGAAATAAATTAGCATTTCCTAGTCTGTCGATATATGGTTTATTTTCTGGTGCACTAAAGGCTTAACTATTCACTTGGCAGGAAAAATAATGAAAACATTTTCCTCATTAATCCCAAATTTCCTATAATCTACTCTTACAACCTCTAGTTCCTATCAAAAAATAAACACACACACAAACACACACACATGCACACACACACAAAAGTACAGAGTCTAAAGTACACTTACCCTCTCTGAAAGAGATCCACATTATAAAATTTATGTAGCTCTACAGAAAACTCAACTGTTCCTTGTACTTCAGACATGATCTTTTTGGTTCATTACCTGAAAAACAAGATGAACAAACAGCTTGGTATCACATCAGACAAACACAGAAAGCCTGTCTGGAAAAAGAACTAGCAGGGCTTAGGAGAACAAGAATATCTGGCAGCAGGACTATCAGGAGCACTGTGGATCTAGTGATGTCACCACCAGGGGCTTCTTTCCATGAGAAAAGGCAAAGCCACCTGCTTAATGTCATGCAATTCACACCCGGAAGGGCGGGACTCAGATCCTGGCATCCTAAGTCCAAAGGCAGGCTGATCCACTGCCCTTTCTAATCTTTCAACAGTACAGAGGCAACAACAGCTCAGCTAAAGGCACGTCCTTCGTGGCCAAATGCGAGAACCTCTGCTCTCCCAGTTTCACCTGGGCGGCCGTGAGCAAGTCACTAACGTCTTTTGTCCTTGGTGTTCTATAATAGGAGGACTAAGAATAGCATTTGTATCAGTCCAGTAAGTTATTACCATGCACAGTATTACAAGCAGATAATTTTCCATTTTTGTGCCCCGTAAGTGGTTTTCTTCTTTCTTTTCCCTCTTGGTTCCCTCCCAGTGTATTCATTCTGGGAAAACTTATTTTGTATGTCGTAATGATAAAAAGTGATTAAATTAAAATAATAATAATAATAAAATTTTACAATAGTACTTAACTTTGATGGGTATGAGATCAGTAAACACAACACTGAGCACTTTGCACTGTCCCTGACATGTACTACATACTCAATAAATGGTAGCTACCAATAATGACCATTATAGTAATCATTAAAAATGAAGCTATCATTGATACTATAACCCAGTCCCTAAGAGCCTAGGGAGCTGCAGTGGCAGAAGAGCAGTATGCCCACCCACATGGGGAACTGAGCATGTAGGAGTTGTTGCTGGCAAATGTTGAACCCAAATGGACAGGGTACTAATTTTCCAACTATGTGACCCAAGGGTCAATAACAAAAGGGTTGGCTATAAAAGATGGAAGGGTACAAAATTAAAACAGTCCAGGTCTCATCCCAACAACAGTGGCACATCCTGGGTAGATGGTACTACATGTCAGGCTGAGACCACAGGGGAGACGTGAGTTTGATTCCTAGCCCTGGTCCTAGGTATTTGGGAGGCTGAAGCAGGTGATCATGAAGTAGACTGACTTTGTCTTAAAACAAAACAAAACAAAAAAGTCCAATCCTGGGATGAAAAATAAACCAAGAGGGATATTCGAAGCAGCCTGGGTTTGCTGAGGCTATGAAATGTTCTGTGTACCAGAGGTCTGCAGAAAGGGAAGGAAACGCTTTTGTTGAGCATCTGCTACATTCTAGTGCTACATCAAGTGTTTTGTAGAAGCTGTCTGATTATTTTTTTCTAACAATAATTTTGTTATTAAAACAAACAAACAAAAATCTTGCCTCAGGCTGCTCCCTTGGCTTAGTGATTAAATCCTGTGCACGGGAAGCTAGATTTCTTATAGATGACCACAGTTCAAGTCCTGGCCCTGGCAGTTTGAAAACATACTGGGCATGAATGCATGTATTCCCCAAATCGTGATGGGATAAAGAAATGGAGGACAAGGGATTGCAGTATAGACATGCCCATTGGGAGAGTGCTTTCTCTCCTCTCTCTCTGCCTTTGGTAAGCACATGTGCCCTCTGACAATAAAAAATAAAATTTAAAAAGTCACATAATAATTAAAAAAGGAATCAGATAGGCTCTGACATAGAGATACTTTCCAACTCTAGAATGTTCTAGTGGTGTGTCTCTTTTTTTTATTATTATTATTTTTTATTTTTGTAAGTCTCCTTGCTTTCTCTAAGCCTCAGGTTAACACCATGCGTAATGGTAATGAAGTGAGTTACCTGTTAAGATTCCGGATAAGATAGAAAGTAATTATTGGCAACACACCCTGGCTCTCTGAAGATTCTCAGCAGCTGGCATAACCTCTGAGAGCAGGAAGACGGAGTGGGCAAGAGGGGAAGGGAACACTTGGGCACTCCCAGCTGGCGAATGGCAACCAGCACCTCATTCTCCTTTCCAACCACCTACTCTTCCTGCCCCTGATTGCCTTGGGGCCAGACCATCACTGTGGTTCAGAGTGCATCCTCACTGCAGGTAACAGGGTCGTGCCAGTCCAGCTCCCAAGAATACTAGCAGAGGGATTAACGAGGGCTTAACTCTGCACTCAGCTCTGTCAAGGGCTCCATCAGAGAAACATTTCTGAAGATGCAGAAGGCCACCTACAGATTAAATTCAGCAGATCCTAGGAACCAATTTAAATGAATTCAGCACAACGGGATTTCATTCTGACAACCCTGGGAAGGCCTGGCTCACAGAGAGGACTGAACACCCTCTTACCTAGTGGCACAGTCACTGAGGCAGGCCCTGACCCTGCCTAACACTCCAGAGCTGGTAAAGCTCAAGAACACCACTAAGTTTCAATCTCAAGGCCTTTCCAGGAAGAGGAGAGAGGCCAGCAAACAGTCCCTCTGTGCTTCACTTCATTATCACAGGGAACAGAACTTGTAGCCCCAGTTCCTCATCACCCCACCTAGTCCCATCCTCGAAAGTGCAGGGCTGAGAGAGCCGTCCGACTCCTCCTTTGTGGTTGTCAGCTTTACCACTCTCTGGTCCCTCTCCTGATAACTGATCCTAGGGGAGAAAATACATAGAAAGAGAACCTAGAGGGAGTGAGGAGACACGCCAACACCACTGGCCTACCACACGCGAACCCTGCTAGGGACACAGTATGTGACCCTGCACGGTCCTCCAAACACGGGACATTGCCACCATTTGGGGAGTGTTGAGTCAGGAACTTAAAAGACTTTGGTTTTCATATCCTAGTGGCAAAATAATGGGACAGTATTTTATTGAGAAATGAATACTTTTTAACATTAATTTATTGTATTTCTTTCATAAAGAAGAAAAGAGAGAAAGAAAACAGGCACCCTCACAGGGTCTTGTCCTGTCACAATTCCCTCCTCCCAGCCTCCTAGTTAGTCAGGATCTTGGGTTGATCTGAACCTGGAGTCTACCATGTGGCCTCCAGTACCACAGAGCCATACCTGCCTGGGGCACCAGGCCAGGCCATCCAGGGGAATTAATGCTTAGAAGAAAAGTATGTAATGCGTGGAAAATCCCAAACACCATATGATTTTCTCCTTGGACAATAAATCTTACCATCCTATTTCTCAGGGCTTCTAGGAGGGAAGCAGCCCTCTCCTTTTTAATAGCATGAGACTCATCTTTAACCAGAGGCTCAATATTCCACAAGGAGGAAGACGAGGTTGCATTTAAAATATCAGAAAACTCCATGTTGATTGTCCTAGTAACGGTATTATGCCCAATAATCGCTCAGTAATCCAGACCCAGCTGCTTTGGTCTCAGCACTGGTGTATGTGAAGATTTCAGATAAGGATATCTTGAATGGCGGTTTTCAGGGGTAGTCCTTGGACTAGCAGCATCAGCGTCACTTTGTTAGAAAAGCAAGTATCTTGAGTCCTCCTCCCCCACACCCCCACCCTACACACCCCTGCAATCCATACTTTCTAAATGAGAAATCCAAGATGAGGCTCAGGGAGCTGTGTTTTCTCAAGCCCTCTGGGGAACTCTCATGCAAACGCTCATCTGAGAAACTGGCTTGGAGACCAGTGTTTTGACGCACAGCAGAATTGAGCAAACTCCACCCTTGTTAGCTGCATAACCTTGGGCCCATGGCTTAACCTCTCTGTTCCTCAAAGCCCTTCTCTATTAAGAGCACCCATTCCATAAGGATATTTTCATTTTCAGTGAAGTATGCAAAATGCTTAATATAGTGTCTGACACATTGTTAGAACACACAATAGACATGTAACACACACCCAACTCAGACATCACACTCCTACACCCGGTACACACTAGATGCACAGGTAACACCACATACTAACACCACACACAATATTAATCACACACATGAGATGCCCATGACAGATTCACACACCCAACACACACACATACAACATTCATACCTCATATGCACATGTGCAACAGATACTCAGAGACATCATGCATGTACACACACAGTGCTCACACCCAGCAAGCACATGTACAACACACACAACTCCCTCCCTCACACGGACACCATGCACACATACCCCTACACACACCACAGACATCTTCCCTATGCCAGCTTCTTATTTCGACCATACCACCCATAACTCTAGGTGTGATTCTGAGACATTCAACCTCAAACCCATATTTCCCAAAGGCTGTGTGTCCAAATATTACACATACAGAGCTTCAAAGCAGGCCTTGTCCTCGTGTGCAGGTTAGGACAGGGTGACCCAGCAGTATCACCAGGAGACTTCTTATGCTTAGGAGGGGCACCTGGACACTCAGGGCTCAGGCAAGGCTGAGTGGGAAGGCTGACTTCTGAGTGGGAAAGCCCATACCACACCTCCATTCAGGCAGTCAGTGCAAATCTCTGTGTTCAGAGAGTGAGGAGCGTGCCCTGCCACGGGTCTTCATGGACGCACGCACCTGGAGCTGGAACACCTGCACTCAGTATTTCCCCCACACGGCACTGCCCAGCGCCTGCCTCACTGCCTGGTCCACACTGAACGTGGCACTAACAGCCTGCAGCTGTGTGTGGCAGCAGCCCTGGTACACCGTGAGTAAGGCAAACACACCTACAAAGGCATGACAGCACCTTCGGGAAGGAGTACTGGAAGTCCTCCTCCCCCACACCCCCACCCTACACACCCCTGCAATCCATACTTTCTAAATGAGAAATCCAAGATGAGGCTCAGGGAGCTGTGTTTTCTCAAGCCCTCTGGGGAACTCTCATGCAAACGCTCATCTGAGAAACTGGCTTGGAGACCAGTGTTTTGACGCACAGCAGAATTGAGCAAACTCCACCCTTGTTAGCTGCATAACCTTGGGCCCATGGCTTAACCTCTCTGTTCCTCAAAGCCCTTCTCTATTAAGAGCACCCATTCCATAAGGATATTTTCATTTTCAGTGAAGTATGCAAAATGCTTAATATAG